AGCCATCCGCTGGTCCCCTGAGCCCGAGTGCATCTCCAAGAATGCTTGCATGTACGTCACAACTCAATTATGAGCCAGGAATATATATAAAACATGTGTATATGTTTTTTATGGAAACTTAGATCGTGGCCTGTCAAGATTTGAGTGATTAAAAAAAAATTAATAGGATGTACTAACGCGCGGCTTACACAGCATCACCCATGGCGGACATGACAGTAGCATGCAATCGGATCATCATCACATGTGCGGCCGGTCTCCCAGATCAGACGGTGTGGCGCCCATCGCATTGGAAGGCATGAGCAGACATGCCCGTGCATAAAGAATACAAGTTGATTTATATATGTATTTCCAAATAATAAAAAAGAAATTAAAGTAGTACATATATTTGATTTCTGTAAAATTAGCTTATAGGGCTTAAACATAAAAATTTAACCAGTAAAACAGGACATAAGATTAAAGTTAAAGTAAAGTATAATCAAATTCCAATCAAAGTAGACTATACTTTCTTTAAGAACAATAAGATATTCGACAAGAAAATTTAGTATCAATAGTTACTTCTCCTCGTATACCGAGAGACAATTTTTAATTATGCTCCAAAAATATCATAATTTTCCTACTTTGTCTGAGGCTTATTCAGTTAATTAGCCGCTGAATTTCTTCTTTGTGTCTAAATTTGTTGAACCGATTCATTTTTAACTGAATTGGTAGGTGTTTTTTTAGCTGCACATGCCACGGTTGAACTACTTCTTTATATCAAAACTGTTGATGTGAAGAACTAAGATACGATGTTGTAATACTAATATTTGACGTATCGAAATTGTTTAATTCAAGAGAAAAATATTATGTATAACACACGCAAAAGAAACTATGTCTAAATCACAATAAAAAAGTCATAATTTTTTGGGGTCATATGCTATATATTCCCGAGAATAAAATAAACCGTTACTCTTATTTTTCCGCTTGACTCAGAAGCACTCGTCACCAAAGTACAAGCTGTCGAACCCGAAGTCCCTGCTATGTGCGACACAAACTCTGCACTTTTCTTTATTATATTATAAAAAGATAGAGGATCTTTGTACAACGCTTCTAATATTATATTGTTTCTCATGTAACAGCGTGGAGGATTTCGAGGAGCTTGTTGATGTGGTAATATCTGGCGATGTGAGCCATTGCATTAGTGAAGTGAGGGTTTTTTTGTCTCCCATTGTAACACACGGGCATTTGTGCAATAAAACTATTAAAAAATTATTACCTATGTAGTACTACTTTAATTAGGCCCTCCAAGAAATGGATTGCGGCGGTGCTTAGGCCCTGTTTGGTTCATAAATCCTAGGATTTTTTTGAGTCCCTAAATCAATAAGTCCCCGGAAACAAACACCCTCTTATTTCATAAGTCCCAAATGCCCACTTTAAATCCCTATAAGTCCCTCCCTGTTTGGTTTAGATGGGACAAACAACGTGCCCCACCTCGTGTTAACTGCCATAGTACAGTACAGTACTTAGTATAATAACAATGGAAATCATTTGCAGATACGAGAAGCTATAAACAAGAGGAAACGCGCGGCAGTGACGCGGCCCTGACTGTAAAGCGTGATCCAAACTAATCATGCGGGCCAACCCCAACCAACACAGGCCATTCAAACCGGCAGGCAGCACACTCGTTGCCGCGGTGGCGTGCAGCCAGACCAGCAACCTCATCGACTTACCAAAACATACCAAACAATACCAAACCAACTATGCATCCATGCACTGCAACTAATAATACCTTCGCAACCTAATTAAACCGGCCAGGATAACACTAATTTCCCCCGCCTCCATCTACAAACAATCGCGGCACGACGGCACCATCTAAATATTTTATCAGGAAATCGAACAAATTTGATTATTCGTCAAATCGTTCACACTTTTTAACAATAATTGATCCACATTGTCAAGGCACGAGCCGATCGACGACAGATGGGCGCACGCAAGCATGAACGAATGAACGAATGGTGCAAGTTTTTCTTGGCACAAAAATATCCTCTGCGCAAGTGGGCGCATGCATATATGCGTGTTGTTGTCCTGGAATTAAGATCGGATCAAAGCTGTAATCTCATTCCTAATCTCGCGGTCAAACGGCTTAAACAAGGCAAGGTGGGCATGGACCATTCGCCATTATTGAATCTCTCCAACGGTGTTGTGCGTGGTGGGATAATGACATGTTTTCTTCTTCTTCTTCTTTTTGGCGAATGGACAATGACATGTTTTCTTCTATATACTGTAGTGCTATATTATTTTGCGTGCATCTTTTTTCTCCTTTTCTCATTTGGACACAGAGATATTTATGGAGAGAGAGAGAGAGAGAGAGAGAGGAAAAACTGGCTGCGTGGAGATGGAAAATCCACTAGTCTCAGCAGCTCTTGTAGAGTTTTGATTTTGGTTAATTGTTTTTCTACTCTTGCATGGTTCGAAAGACAAAAGTGTGAGGTTTCTTTATGCATTTCTTTACTCAGTTATGGTTAAATTTGTACAGAAAATAATAATTCATTTATACACAACATAAACTCAAAATTTCCATCCACTCAAATTCATTGGACGTGCAAACACGATCCAAAAAACAGTGAAGTGGGAATCCAACTGCAGGTTTGAGGGAGGCTACGCATCCTCCTGTGTTTTCTCACCCAGAGGTTATACTACACTCTGCTCTTAAGTGAGAGGCGTCATTCTAATTAATAAAAGGGTTGATAACGGGACAAATAATTATACGACCTTTCTTCATATTCAAACCATGGAGTATCTTTTTGAAAATTTTCATCGTAAAAAGAATTCTTAGAAAATCGGAGGGCGGAAATCCTACTTCATAGATGAGGTTTGTTTGATTTGTAGGTTTAATACAATAATAAAGTCACGGTGATTCTCCACGACAACTACTCCTTTTGCACTATATAAAAACTCACAGTTTTCATCCACTCGAATTCTTTGGACGGTGCAAACACAATCCTAAAGACCATAATTTTTTTGCAAATCTGGCTTCTTTCCCCCCCTTTATATCTTGCTTGTTTTTGGAATCATACTCCCTCCGTCCAGAAATACTTGTCAACAAAATGAATAGAAGGGGACGTATCTAGATGTATTTTAGTTCTAGATATATCCTTTTTTGTCCATTTTGATGACAAGTATTTTCGGGAGTACGAGTGAAGTAGGCCCTTGCCGTTTCTCAAAGGCAAGGATATGCTTGCAGGATCTAGGTAAATCTAAACCTGTCTTATTTAGTTAACCTAACTAGAAAGTTACTGTCATGGTAGTCGGCGGGCGTTCGTCGCCACTTGACAATAAACAAACAACGGAGCTTTCCTTCCTGGAAACCCCAGAGCAGAAAAATATCGCTGGCGGGCACGTGGAAGGGGAGACCATCCGTTCATCCACCTCACGCGTAGGCGGACCCGTCCTCCTCGTCGTGGGCCGAAAGGAACCGCGGGGAGCCCCGTTCTGCGAAACCCATCTTCCTCAGGGGTCAATATACAAAAGGGCGGCCGCCACGTCGGACCCACCGACGGACGGGATAAATAACGAGAGGAAGAGGGACACGCCGAGACGGAAGCAGACAGAGAGAGAGAGAGGCAGAGGCAGAGGCAGAGGCAGAGGAGAAAAATCAATCCACCACCGAGCAGAGAAGACCTCCGCCGGCGCTGCCGCGGTGTTGACCCCTCCCCCCACGCTGGATCCCCCCACGGCGGCGGGCGCGTCCTTCGGCGGCGGCGGCGCGTTGTTATGCCGAGAGGCGCCCAGGTACTTGCCGTCCCGCCACGCCACGCGGTTCTCTCCGCTCCGCTCTGCTACGTCATGTTCCCGTCCCCGCGCGATCCCGGAATCCGATTCCGGCGCGGCGGCTCGGTAGGATCGGCGCGGGAGGGGTTTGGGCGATTGTTTGAGTGTATAATTCGGGTTTGGCCGGTGGGATTCGCGCGGCTGCGGCTCGGTCGCGGCGGCGCGGGGGTCTGAGATCCGGGGGGGAGGGTTTGGTCCGATCGGCGCGCGATTCGCCGGGCTGGGTCGCCGCCGTTGTTGGTAAAACCGGGGAGGGTTTGGCGGGTGGAATCGGTGCGTGCCTGGCCGGTGAATTATGCGCTCGGCGGTGCTGGTGTTCACCACTAGTTTCCTAGATTTAGGCGAATTCGGCTACGTGTTCTGGTCTGGGCGCTATATATTTGATCCATATATATGATTCTATTAAACTGTAGCAGTGGGTGGTGGCACGGGCATAGTTTCGTCCGGCTCATCTGCTTTGATGAATCCTGCAGCGATTCAGCTGTGCATCGTGCTGTTTTCCTTGCGCGGATTTGTAGGTACTGATGGATGATGCAAGCACGGGTCGATGTTGGTGGGGTTCGCACGGCTGTGGCTCTGTCGGCGCTAGCGCGGTCTAGGATATGGGTAGGGGGTTTGGTCAGATCGACGCGAGATTCGCTGGTTTTGGCTGCTGGTGTTGCTGGTAGAATCCGGGAGAGTTTGGCAGGGGGATCACAGCCTGTGTCTGGTCAGTGAATTGTGCGGGGAATTCGTTCGGTGGTGTTAAGTTGCCATCACAGTTGGCATTACTTGCGTGAATTTGAAGGTAGGAAGAAGGAATGGATGACGGGAACACATGGTTGTTGTGCTGGTTACGTGTTTTGGTTACTTTGTTATATCCTGACTCGTCGCATGATGTTCTGATCATGCTTATGCTGTTAGTATAATGAGTCACCATAATTAGCGGAAGGTTTGATTAGACCAAACTGTGAGTTTTCTTTTGGAGAAACACTATTATTATGGGGCTGTTGCTTTGAAGAAACGGGGTTTACCATGGCAGCATTCCATTGTCGTCTGCTAAGTTTGGCTCTGATGTATTGGGCTACCACCTCGTGTCACACGCTTTCAGCTATAGGTCTGTTGCTTACGAACAACTTTTGTATTTGCAGGTTTCAACACCATTCGCCTCTGGGTTTCTAGCATTCTCAGAAAGGATATGGAGCGCACCCTCTATGCAAGTTCCCCTGTATCCCACGTCTCGCTGCTTGAGCAAGTTCTTGGCTGGAGATTTTGTCTTTACGGAGACTTCCTTGTCATCTCCTTCGTCAATTGCACCTGAAGAACACACCTGGCTTAGCGACTACCGTGCCTGGTCCCATGCTACTGGACATTAGGGCCGACTAGTGATTGCGGTGCACATCTATTCGAGCATGGTGCGTCTCTTCTCTGGCAACATTTTCGTAATTTTTGCCGTGGCACTGGTCAGCCAGCAAAAGTTACCATCAGAACTTCTTTGGACACTTGGGATCTAACCCGTAGATCCTCCTTGTCGGTTACAAGCTCTAGGTATGCTCTTACCCGAGAAGCCAGTAGCACAATAATTTTCATGGCACTTTTCTGTTTTTATTGTCACTGTCTCATGTATCTCTCGCTCTCAGCAGGTTCTGGTTTTCTTTGCTTCTGTCAGCTCTCTTCTCCTCTATCACTGCGAGTTTTCAGTTTGTACGGCTTGATCTTTGGTGTGTATAGTGTGCACTGTTCTTCATCAGGCTTCACTTCTGATGGCGTAACGTGAGGGTATGCTTGAAAGTTTTGAATTTAAGCAGGACAATGCATGACTCAGCCATGAAGCATAATTAGGAATGTGAACATTAGCATTTCTTCCAACGATCTAATCCACCCTGTTTAATTTCAGGGCAAAGGTGTTCCAAGTTTATTTGTCACAAAGTATGGGTATTGCTTACAGACGTTTGAAAAAAGCCTGCAGTGACTTTGGTGATCTACTCTCCAAAGACATTCCGGCAATACGCGTATGAGTCTTGTTTGTGTTTATAGGACTGTTCAAAAATAAGGACAGCTTTGCATTCTAGCTAATAAAATGGAGAGGTGAGTTGACTCTTTCCCTCTTTTGCCAGATGACAATGAGCTTCCAACACTGTACATACTTGCTAACTTTTTTTCTTATATTTGCGATACAGGTATAACATTATTACGGAAGTGGGTGATGGTACGTTTGGTAGTGTTTGGCGTGCAATCAATAAAGAAAGTGGCGAAGTGGTATGTCACTACTTGCCCAATATTTGCATGTTATGCATTACTTTTTGCATTGTTGTGCTGGAGGTTAGCTAGCCTGGGGCTGTTTATTATATTTCTACTAAATAATGTGAAACACTTCCTTTTCAGTTTGCATTGTTACACTCTGATATATCTTCACGACTAGCAGATATTCTTATGTTGCCACTGCAATACCTGGATTTTCTTTCACCTTGTTGACATATATGCATATGCCTGTTCTTCACAGGTCGCAATCAAGAAAATGAAGAAAAAATATTTTTCTTGGGAGGAGTGCATCAATCTCCGTGAAGTGAAGGTATGTGATGTTACATAACATGTAGCCATATTGCATCATGGCTTCCTTCACTTCATTTGATTAAATGTATATGTTTCAACTTCAACAGTCCCTCCGAAGGATGAACCATCCAAACATTGTGAAGCTCAAGGAGGTCATAAGAGAGAATGACATGTTGTTCTTTGTTTTTGAATACATGGTACAGACTATTGATATTTTGTTTTGAGGTTTTTGTTTTGTTTTTATAATCAGTATAAGTTGACTAATGTTTTATGTGCTCTACGTGGGGTTGTTAGGAATGCAATCTCTATCAGCTGATGAAGAGCAAGGGCAAGCCTTTTTCGGAGACTGAGATCCGGAACTGGTGCTTTCAAGTATTTCAAGCTCTTAGTCACATGCATCAACGTGGATACTTTCATCGTGACCTTAAGCCTGGTATGGCATACTCCCTGGACTCTGGAGTTGTTAATAATGTTTATTGTAATTGTGGGTCTATGTTTATTTATGTGGTCTAGTGTTAGAGCCTAGACCGATACTTGAAGAAGTGTATAAAAGAGCGTTACCAGTATCCATCCCTCGTGTTGTGTGTGGTTAAAAAAGAACAGTTTGAGAACATCTTTTGTTTTTCATCTTTCCACCTATGCTCCTTGTCAGAAGCTGTGGTTTCATGCAATTTTTAGTTTGAACAACTCAAGAAATCAAGTCTAGTAGCTGTGGATGGGTAACCATCCAGTCGGCCATTGACCGACAAGGCTAACACTGCTAAAAAACATTTTGAGCGGTTTTATTGATCCTTTTTTTTAATTGATTATGCGTTCCCTTGCTCTTGACAGAAAGTGTGCACCATGTGGGATATATATGTAAAGGTAGCAGTAATGACAGATAAAATTAGGCATAATAGGGACACTTGAAAGACTAGTTGTATATGACTAACATGTGTCGGTAAAAAGGGAGTCAACAATCCTTGTTATCCTTAAATGCTACTGTGTTCCATTTGGAGAGTTCAGATTGACCTTATTTATTGGCATTAGTAAACAAGAACCATCATCTTTTGCTCTTTTGACCTTTTGTTATTTCAGAAAATCTGCTAGTTACAAAGGAGCTCATCAAGGTAGCTGATTTTGGGCTTGCTCGTGAGATTATTTCTGAACCACCATACACAGAATATGTGTCAACTCGCTGGTAGGCTACTTCAGTCTTAAACAGCTTAAATCATAGTACATACACGGCACTAAAGCAAGGATACTAATGTTTACTGCCAAATTAGGTATCGTGCCCCAGAGGTTCTACTTCAAGCTTCTGTTTACAGCTCAGCAGTTGGTGAGTGGAGAATATTATTTCCTTTACAAGAAAGCAAATTGCTACAATTTGCAATGTGCTGATTCCCTGTTGCTTTTCTAGACATGTGGGCTATGGGTGCCATTATTGCAGAGCTTTTTTCGCACCGACCTCTTTTCCCAGGCTCAAGGTACACATGATCCTTTTTCTGCTGAGCCTCATTTGGTTCCCCTATTCTCTTGGTTGTTGTGCCCAATTTAATTGAAGATTTTTAAGTTGGTCCTAATAGTTTGCTGGGAGCTAAATATTAGGCAAAGATGCTGTTGATTATATATGAAATAACCATCATCGGCCACTTTAATAAGTGAACCCATTTTTTGTATAGTCTAGAAAGCACCCCATAATGTGAAAAAATTGATGTGGTGATTCTTTTGTGGTATGTTCTTCCAAGTAGTTGCTCAAGTGAGGCCATTTTTGTAACTTTGTTCTTTGTCCCTCAGTGAAGCGGATGAGATATACAAAATCTGTAGCATTCTTGGCACACCAAATCAGCATACTTGGGCTGGAGGACTGCAGCTGGCAGCATCTATCCATTTTCAGTTTCCTCAGGTAGAATCTTTTGATACCCCTCCTCGCTCTCCAGTCCTGAGATTATTACGAGCTATTGATGACTAAATGCTGTTCCATATTCTCAACAGTCTGGAAGCATAAATCTTTCAGAAGTGGTTCCCACAGCAAGTGAAGACGCGCTGAACCTTATTTCGGTAAGTATCATATCACCAGTTTCTGTCTGTCCTTAAAGTAGTGGCGAAGCGATCATGTTCAGATTAATGATTGGCTTCAACTTTTGCATTTGCCACAGTGGCTTTGCTCATGGGACCCACGTAAAAGGCCAACCGCAGTGGAGGTTTTGCAGCATCCCTTCTTTCAGGTCATAATATTTCCATCGTCTTTCCATACCACACTAGATGATGCATTGATTCGGTTCGTGGACCTGACAAAAATTGTTTATGTCAGCCATGCTTCTATGTCCCCCCTTCACTTCGTTTTAGATCGACCGGATATGCAACAACACCACCATCAGGTTTGTCAAATATTCTCACGCTTATATGACTTGTATCATTTCCGCTAGAATACCGTTGTTGAAGCAATTCAAATAACGGAATCTGCAGTTGGGGCTAAAGGAGCTATGGACCAGAAGAATGCTAGGAGATACCCTGTGGGGACTTTATCCAACGGGAGACCGGCAGTCAATAACTCGTACCTGAGCACCAACGCCCCAGCAAGAGCAGCTGGCGTGCAAAGGAAGCTAGAGTTGGATCATCAGGTGAAACCAATGGGAGACCATAAGCTGACGAAGGAGAACGCCATGAACCAGCCCTGGTCCAGACTACCACCAGCACCAGTGAGGAGCAACGGTGAGTATTGTTGTTCTGTTCCTTCAAAACATGTATGTAGTGGTGTACTTGGAATGCTGCTTTATGTTTCGTTCAAAGTCTATGATTTTGCGCTTTCCTGATGTGTGATTTGGTTCATGTGCTGCAGGGAACTACCTCGCCCCGAAGGAGCACATCCCTCGCGGCGGCGGCGCGCCTGACATAGCCGAGAAGCTGTCCCAGCTGTCGATGGCCTCCACCACCAACCGGGCGCCGACCGTGCCTTCCGGCAGGTTTGCTGACCTGAAGGGCACTAGTAGAGCCCACCAACCGGAGCCCGTGAGGCGGCCCGTGCCTCTGGGACCCAGGGACACGTGGCACGCCCGGAACGACCCCTTCCGGCGCACCTACGAGATGCCGGGCGAGAGGGCCCTCCTCCAGAGGAAGCTCGTCAGCTGAGGACCATCCCACCGACTCCCGCCCGCCACAATAATCCAGCGGCCTCCTTCCCGGGTGGTCGCCGCCGCCAAGTTTATGTCTCTTTCATCGTTCGTGTTGTGGTTGAAAATAAAAGCCAGTCCCCGGCCCTCGCGTCTGCTCGGAGGCGGTGGGGAGACTGAAGAGTACTGCCGTGTTTCCTTTGGGCTTTCGAGTTTGAGAAACGTGGATGATGATTATATGCTTTTGTGATTTGTGTGCGAACCAACGATCGCTTGCGCAGATTATGCGACTTTGTGGAGCCACTGATGTCTCGTGGGTTATACTTGTTGATTGCTCTGGTCGTTGATCCATTGGAGATGCTTTGCTCGCTCACATGGTTGAGTCATGTCCTGCATCTGCATGGCTGGTGATGTTTGTTTACTCCCGTGGGTATTACTCTATGTAGTAGCAGACAGATGCTGCGGGAGCTGTCATGGATCGCGTGAGGTGACGTATTTTTTATTTCAGTTGCGAGTACCGGCGACGGCGACGGCGACGCGAGGGATGATGGATTGGTTTCTGTTTCTGGGTGTTATGGTCAGACCGCGTGGGCATCATCATCATCATGTGTGTAATGTTTGACTACGTAGCAGCAGCAGTGCAGTAAAACTAGTACTACTAGTACGTACGTACGTAGGCCTTTTGGGACCGAGGAGGCGACGTCCGCCGCTGCCAAAACCCTCCATCCATCCATCCCTTGGCCGCTCGCCTGCATTCACCAGATCAGACGGCCTCAGCCCCAAAAGCTGCGTTGCTTCAGCGCCATGCCCCCCCTCATCACGTGCATATCTTCTTCTTCTTGACCAGGGGAAACATCGTCGTGCCTCCCGTGTGCATTGTTTACACTACCCTGCGTGCTGGTGCTGGGTCATTTTTATTCTTTTCCAGCTTTGAATCCATGGTAAGATTAGGCATGCCAAATAATTTGCATCAACCCAATCAGCCTCACGGTACATACAAAAATCTTTAGACCAAAGACGGGTCTTGCCTGGTACCGCCGGTTCTTTTCAGTCCGCATGTAAGTTTTGCCCCTAGTCAAAAGTATCTCTGTCTTGACCAAACCTATAGAAAAATAATATCGACATTCACAATGTCAAATCAATATTATTAGATTCTAGTTCCATAGTGTGCACACCATATGTTGATGTTTTTTGATAGTATAAATTTGGTCAAACACTGCAAAGTTTGACTTGACACAAATCTAATAGGCGGAGTAGAAAAGGCTGGAGGCGGTACACTTCTACAGATCCAAGTAGGTTTGAACTCCAGAGATGGAAGTCGGTAGATAAAAACATTGGAAGTTGTAATGTCAAGCCACGCTGAATGTTATGCTAGAGAGCCTATCCAAGTGAAACATGATGCAAATGGAGCTTCACAAGAGAGAAGAAGAAGGGAACCTTGTTCCGCGCAACTCTACCTATTCCTGTCCTGATAGTTTCCTTTCTCTAAGCATTGCAGCTGTATCCCGATAAGCTATTTTGAATCAAAAGATACACATTTTTGCAAATAGTAGAAAAGATGAATCAGGGTTACTGCAAGCTTCACAAGAAACATAAGACAGGCCGCGTCCCAGGATGATTTCCGTGTCCAAGTAAGCAACATCAGAGTCATCATTCAACACAAACAAATAGGCAGTTACACGATACATTCCACAAGATGATCTGCCGCAACGACACACGCAAACACCTACAGGTTCGACATTGAGCGTACAAAGCAACGTGGAATCTTGAAAAAGCAGCTACTGCAGGTTCCTCTTATCTCACGACACGCAAGGGTTTTGCTCTTAAACCAAGTTCATAGCACGAACGAATACAATGGACACAAAGAACCACGAGAGACCACAGCGCAGGTGCACGTGCACGCCCTGCACCTGCCGCTCACACCCGTCAATCGCCTGCAGCAACAGAGCAAACACAATGAGCAAATTCAAAAGATTCGAAGAGTAAAGGCTTCAAAATATTTGAGCCACTGAAGGTGGCGGGAGAGGACCCACATCGAGGCATCGGGATGGAGATCGAGAGCTGGGTCGTCGAGAAGGAGGTGCCGTTGGAGCGCTCGTCGTCCATCTCCGACCACGAGTCCCGCCTCCCCGGCCACTCGTCGAAGAAGGGCCTCAGCGGCTGGTTCTCCTGCTTGACATTTCCCATGAGCCCTCCACCTCCACCTCCACCTCCTCCACCTCCACCACCGAAAGAGCGGCGGTCCTGCTCCTGGGAGTGGGACAGCGAGGCGATGGTTACCTGCCCAAGCTCCTGCGACGGCTCATAGTGGGAATACGAGAAGCCGCCTTGCATGAGGCCGGAATCTCTAGGTTTCGACAGTTGGTACGGGGGCAGGCTGGACCCCATCGAGTGCCACGAGCTGTCCGTTGGGGAATCGATGGTGAAGCCCCTGTTGTTGTTTCCTGATGCTCCAGAGAAGAAGCTCAGTTCACCCACATCAGATTTAGCTCCAAGGGAGTATCTGCATCACATTGAATACATTAAAACTGTAAATTGCTGCAAGAAAAAATTAATATGTGAACCAACCAAAAGTTTAGACAGGTCCAGCTCTAGCATTAGGATCCCTTGTGGCATGAAATGAGATAAAATAAACATGCGCTGGTGATAAAGATCACAAGACAGTTCCAAGTCCGCAGTGGTTTATAGGCTGGGCCACAACTTGAATGTAGAGCATCTACTCGACAGCGCAAGCAAGGTACTGATACCAAGTTGGTACGAAAGGAGAGCCAGTGAAAATGGCTGACAGATGGGAAAAATAAATTAGATGCATCGGCAAAATGCTCTCAAACCCCTAAGGCAAGGGCAAATCAATTCAAAAAGCTTTCCTATACAAAGGCAGAAGAGCATTGCTTGCCTATAGGGAAAAAACTACATTTGAAAGTGGGCATGCAGTTGAAATATGAGATGATGTGCAAAAGACCACGAAGCAAATTACTTACAAAAAGATGGAACTAGACTTTAGAGGTTATGTACCCAAAAAGTATAGTGCATGGTACAGGCAGCAGACTGCTTCAGATTTATAATTAATTGCATTGTAAAGGCATCAGTTAGGGTACAAGAGGCCACGGAAAGTTGCTCTTACAATAATAACACTAGAAAAAACAACAATATAGCACGGGCTACAAGTACAAGCATCACACAGATAATATGATTGCAGCCTCAAGAAAAAGCCATAAATTGTAACTGTGAGTACAAAAGGTCTCAGCTGTGGTAATGCTGATACTGCAGTACAGCGTAGAAAGAAATAAGGAAGATCATGGCACTATTAGTTATGAGACTTACTCCCTCCGTTCCAAAATAGATGACCCAACTTTGTACTAACTTTAGTGCAAAGTTAAGACAAAGTTGAGTCATCTATTTTGGAACGAAGGGAGTAGCTCTAAACGTACAACAAAAACAAGCATGGCAATCAATATCATGAGCAGCTGTAAATACAATGAAAATGAGCATCATCGAACAACTAATCAATGCTGACAAGCCTATTTCAAGTAAGCATCCAACATCAAGAATGAGAGGCAAAATGGGAGCAAAAACATACTTGCCGCCGTATGATGAGGCGTCGACGTGCATCTGCGACGAGCCAGCCCCGCCGAGGGACAGGCCATGGGTTTTAGCCCCAGCCGGGAGGGAGGGGAGCGGCTCGGCGTCGCGGGCCGCGGACGTGACGGCGGACAGCGGGGGCTGCTGCGACTGGTGCGCAGGGGAAGCAGACTTGGATTCCACAGGCTTTCTTGAACGGTTGCGGCCACGGTGCATGTGGCGCTCGCAGTACTTGGAGTCGGGGTGCGCCTCCTTGGAGCACCGCCACTTCTTGCCGTCGGTGCGCCGGCACCGCCACGGCTCCGGGTCGAGCTTCTTGCCATAGTAGGCGTAGTAACTCACTGCAACAATCCATGAATCAGCACATTTAATCCACATAACCATCACCACTCATTCACTCATTGATCCATTGATTCCAATCAAGAGGTATAGATCAGAGACACATTAACATCTCACCAACCATACAGAGATGCTTCCCCTTGGTCACAGGTGCGAGCAAAGAATCAAACAGCTAGCTCGCTTGACCGAATATATAGATATATAAGCAAAGATCCACGCAAGTTGCAGCCGCAGACATGTTTATCCATGAATAAAAGTACCGGAGCTCAATCAAATCGATCCCAGTAATAAGCATCAAAGCACCGCCATTTCCGCCTCCCGAGAAAGAGACGCGCTTTTTTAAGTGCCCAACAGGGGGCATCCAATCCAATCCAATCCAATCCGTCTCCGCGAGATTCTCGACGAATAACTAAAGCGAAAGCGAAAGCGGGGGGAAGGGGAGGAAGGTCGCTTACTGGAGGGATGGTGCTGGTGGTAGAAGGGCGAGGCGGCGGGGCTGGCGAAGGAGAAGGTGGTTCCGGCGGCGCCGGCGGCGGGGTGGTGGGGGCGGATGGGGAGCAGGAGATCGGGCGGCACGGGCACGCCTGCCATGAGGTACTTGTAAATCAGCGCCTGCTGCTCCAGCTCGGCCCACTGCGCCGGCGTGAACACCGGCCCCGCGCCCCGCTGCATCTGCATCTGCATCTGCTGCTGCTGCTGCTGGCCGTAGCCCCCCAGCCCCATCCCCATCGCCGCCGACGAGCTCAGCATCTCCAGCGGCGTAAAGCCTCCGCCTTGGAGCAAGATAGTAGTAGGCCCGGCTCCTCCTCTCGGCGCAAGGCAAGGCGGGCGAGAACGCGCGGCGGGGCACGGCGGTCAGGTGGGGGTTGGGGGGTTCTTGGTGGCGGCCATCAATG